ACAATGAGCCCCAGAGAAAAAATCACTTAGGCTCCGAAGGCCCTCTAAACCCTAAACCCTAAACCCTGAACCCTGAACCCCAAACCCCAAACCCTAAACCCTAAACTCTACCCTGAAATCAGGCAAAGGGGCCCACCCCCAGGAGCACCCCGAAGGCGGCACCATAGCTCTGCTGTAGGTAGCCTTGGGTTTCTCGGAGTCTTTAGTCAGGGTTTAGGGTTTTAGGGTTTAGGGTTTAGGGTTGAGGGTTTAGGGATTAGGGTTTAGGGTTTAGGGTTTAGGAGTTTAGGGTTTAGAATTTTTGGGTTGGGGGTTTACTGTTTGGGGGGGGGGGGGGTTAGGGTTAAGGGTTTAAAGGGTTCCGGGTTTAAGGGGAGGGTGGGGGGGAGGGGGAGGGGAATTTAGGGCTTGGTGAGGATGCTTAGAGACAAGGGATACATCAGAGTAGAGCTCAGAGACATATGAGAGCTTGGGGTCTACAAGAGTGTATCTTTATATATATATATATATGCATATATATATATATTATTTATTTATTTATATTTTCCTTTATCTACTTATTTATTCTTCTTAATAAGATATTCGAGTCTAGGGGGTTTTCAATCTTGTTTAGGGAGGGGCGTCAGTGGCGTTTAGGCAAGTGCTTTGTGTCAAGGAGGGTTTATCCCTGCTCCGGCGGGGAAGTCTTCAGCTAGGGTACCTTAGAACAGGTTTCTCTAAGGGGTCTACAAGATCGTAGGGGCTGAGCACCCTAGCCCCAGAAGGTTAAAGGTTTCCTAGCCAGTCCCTGAGAGATTCTATAAGCCTTCTGTAACTCGGGCTGTATCAGGTTAGACGGAGCTGTACAGGATTCGTAACATGCTTCTCCCTCGCCACAGCCGTCCACAGAAAGGATCCTGTGTGAGCTAATTCAGGCCTGCGCTGAGTGCACTTCGACGTTCTTAGAGAGCCCCACTAAACATGATGACTTGCATTCTGGCTAGCCGTACGCACCGAAAAAGACAAACAAGCCATAGACCCACGCTTCCAACTCCTAAACTCAAAACCCTCAACCCTGAACCCTAGGCCCTATACTCTAAACCCTAAGCCCTAAACCCTAAACCCTGAACTCTAAACCCTAAACCCTAACCCTAAACCCGAAAAACCCGAAAAACCCTAAACCCTACATCCTCAACCCTAAGCCCCGAAACCCCACCCGAAAGGTTGCAGGAGGGTGGCCTCCCAGCGACCGGCTGGAGAAGCCAGCCTGGGACTGAGGTGGCAGAGGGCTACGGTTTAGGGTTTAGGGTTTAGGGTTTAGGGTTTAGGGTTTAGGGTTTAGGGTTTAGGGTTTAGGGTTTAGGGTTTAGGGTTTAGGGTTTAGGGTGTAGTGTTTAGGGTTTAGGGTTTAGGGTTTAGGGTTTAGGGTTTAGGGTTTAGGGTTTAGGGTTTAGGGTTTAGGGTTTAGGGTTTAGGGTTTCAGGCTTGGGGTTTAGGGTTTAGGTTTGGCGTTTGGGGTTTAGGGTTTAGGGTTTAAGGTTTGGGGTTTGGGATTTAGGGTTTCTGGCTTGGGGTTCGGGGTTTGTGGTTTGTGGTTCAAAATTTTGGTTCATCGGGGTTTGGTTTGGGGTTTAGGGATTGGGGCTTGCGGTTTCGGGAGGGTTTTTGGATTTCTAGGGGGTTTTGCGGGGCTCCGCTGATTTCTTCATTCGGCCCCACCTGACAACCTGAAAGGTGTAGCGAAATCCAAATGTTTGTTCAACTTCGCGCCACCCCCTCCTAGCCAACTGGGGAACCTCCCAAACATGAAACAGGGTTTGTAGCTCTAAGACACTCACCAATATTTGTAAGGAATCCTATATACACTCACCAATGACGGTAAAGCCTGTTTCACGTGGTTCTGTTTTCGGAAAGCCCCCTAAACCCTCTAACCCAATACCCAAATCCTAAACCAAAGAAGAACAAAGAAAACAATCCGTCCGGCATTTTTGCTCAGCAAGCAGGCTTTGGAATCTTTTGCCCATATACTCCGCCATGCTCAGGTAAGCTGCAGGTATATTTTTGGATGTCGGCAAGTAAGTTTACCTGCTAAATTTTCTTCTAACCCTAAACCCTAAACTAGCACTTTACCTTCAAGTGGTCTTTGGAAAAGTTGTGGTGGCTGGGTTGCAGATGGGTTTAGGACAAAGAAAGCCGCAGACAAAAGTTGTGCGAGCACGAGCCCTGGTTCAGGAGATGGGTCCCCTTACGATACCAGCTAGAGTTAAGCGATGCCCTAAGCCGTCAACTCTAAACCCTCAATCCTAAACCCTAAACCGCCTAAACCCTAAAACCAATTTGGGGACATCCGTCTGGTTTGGTTTTCGGGTGAAGGCAACATCCCAAAGCCTGAGTCAGCGAACCCCAAATTATAGGGTCAAAGGTTCAGGGCTAACCCTAAACCCTAAATCCTACACCCCAAACCCCTAAACCCCGAATACCCGAGTCGTGGGCAGCATTGGCGGCCAACGCGCAGGGCTCCTACGTTTTAGGGCGCAGGGCATAGGGTCTAGAGGGCATCTAGGGCTTCAGGGCTGGCGGGTTTCAGGGCCATGGGACTTTTGGGGGTTTAGGCTTTAGGGTTCCGGGTTTAGGGTTTAGGCTTTGGGTTTCAGGGTTTAGGGGGGATTCTTGACAAGGTGGCTGGAGACTGTAGTTGTGGTGAGTCAAAAATGGGCACCCTCAGCCCCAAGCAAGCAACTCTTCGGCTCTTAGGGTACATGGCCCCCCTATGGGGTATCTAAAGGGGCATAGAAGTGGGCTCCTGGCCCCAACTACCCCTGAGATCAACCCCCAAAAGCCCCAAACCCTAGCCCCCCCAAGCCCGCCACGCTGGGACCCGCCTGCAGCGCCAATACCCAAATTACAGCCGCGGCCCAGCTGCCTTTTCGGGTGTACTTGGAGGTTCATGGGTACTTATAAACACAGTTATACGTCTACGTATAACCTACTTAGGGGACTTAGGGGGCTTATAATCAGTACAGCCATAGTTAGGGTTACAAGTACCCTGTACCTCCAAGTAGGGCTCTTGGGTTTAGGGTTTCGGGGCTTGGGGTTGAGGGGTTTTGGGCTTGAGGTGTAGGATTTGGGGTTTAGGCTTCGGGGTTCTGTGCTTTTTGCTGTGATTGCGATTATGCTTATTCTTATTCTAATTGTTTTTTTTAGTATCGTTTTTTTTTTGGGGGGGTTGCGTCAAGGGTTTGAAGTTATTGGGGTTGAGGGCTGGGAGTTGGAGTTTTGGGATTCGAGGAATTACGGAATTGCAGCATTTGGGATTTTGGTCAAGGCGACAAACTTGGATCATGACATTGGGAAGCCGGGGGTGGGGCCCATCAATAGGGTTTAGGGCTTCGGGCTTAGGGTTAGGGCTTTGGGGTCAGAGTTTAGGTTTAGGATTCTCTGAATCGCCCCGGCAAGGCTCACTGGTCCGTACAAGGAGGCTAGCCCTAGCTAGGTCGGCCCTTAAACCCCCCTCTTTAAAATGTTCGTAAATGTGATGATCCTCTTGAACTCAAAACATCCTGAATCCCAAGCCCTGAACAATGAACCCTAAACCCTAAACCCTCAACCCTCAACCCTAAACCCTAAACCTAAACCCTAAACCCTAAACCAAGGTACCTAGACACAAGGAGGCTAGCTATCAGCAGAGTAATGAAGGCTCCGAATTGGGTCAGAAGTCCTATGCCTGTCCTGTCATGTCATCAGTCCCTGAAGTACACTTAGCATAGTCTCTAAACCCTAAACCCTAAACCCTAAACCCTAAACCCTAAACCCTAAACCCTAAACCCTAAACCCTAAACCCCAGGCAGACGCTTGCGCACCTCGCAGCATCGAGGCGCTGTGGCTCAAGGTCGGCGCCCCGGGAGGACGCGCATGCGGGGGAATGTCACGCTGGGGTTTAGGGTTTAGGGTTTAGGGTTTAGGATTTAGGGTGTAGGGTTTAGGATTGAGGGTTTAGGGCTTAGGGCTTAGGGTTCAGTGTCTAGGGTTCCGGGTTTAGGGTTTAGGGCTTCGGAATATCTTAAGTCAGGGCGACCTGCTGGGGCGCCTTGTTTGAATTTGGGGTTTGGGGTTTGGGGTTTGGGGTTTGGGGTTCGGGGTTCGGGGTTCGGGGTTCGGGGTTTGGGGTTTAGGGTTTAGGGTTTAGGGTTTAGGGTTTAGGGTTTAGGGTTTAGGGTCTTCGGGTTAGGGTCGTAGGGTTTGGTCCCAGCCACTTCTAGGGTACAGGCCGGGCCCTCAAATACAAGGTTGAGGGTTTAGGGGTTGGGGGCTTAATGGGGCTGAAGGTTCCCATTGTCTCAACTCTATTGTTTAGGGGTAGGGTTTAGGGTTTAGGGTTGAGGGTTGAGGGTATAGGGTTTAGGGTGTAGGGTTTAGGGTTTAGGGCTACGGGTTGAGGCTTTAGGGCCAATTTGTGATTTTAGGGTTTCGGGCTTCAAGCAAGCAATTTGGGTAGCGTACGTTTTTGTTACATGAGGTTTATGAAGGTCTCATTTCTGGTAGAGATCCTGCTTTCATGCTCATTGCCTTGAGCACGCAAGCTGCTGATCCGCAGCCGACGACACTCCAACTCTACTAAGGGCTCAGGGAAGACACAAGGGGTTTAGGGTTTAGGGTTTGGGGTTTAGGGTTTAGGGTTTAGGGTTTGGGGTTTAGGGTTTAGTGTCAAGAGCTTGGGGTTGAGGGTTCATGCTTCAGAGCTGGGGGTTCCCAGCCAAGCTTGACGGGACATGCTTGTCAACAATCTGCAGAAGCTAGGTCCGGAGGGAAGATAATAAGGGTTTAGGGTGTTGGGTTTAGGGTTTAGGGTTTAGGGTTTAGGGTAGGAACACTTTTAAGGCCCAAGGTTTTTTCCAATACTTTTTGGGCACAGGGGCCCTTTGGGTTAGCTTCCTTAAGTTTTCTAATCCCATTCAAAATCTCCCAAATTGCTTCCAAGTACCCTGCCAACACTTCCTGGTTACAAACCCTTGGGCTCGTACCCACACGGCAGGATACAAGATGACGCCCCAAAGGAACTGCATTGGTGTCCTGCACAGGGCCGGAAAGTAGGGTTCTAGGATGCTCAGTAACCAGGATTAAAAAGGGTACCCGTTTTTGCTTAAAGGGGTTTGTAAGGGAACCTAACCCCCCAAAAAAAAGGAATAACGGTACTACTGGGCATCCTAGGCTTAGGGTTTAGTCGGTTTCTCTGTGCATGCATCCCCTCCCGGCATTTGTACCTGCAGAACGAACAACATCAGATGGCAGTGCGCAGTACTGTGTGCACAGCTAATGCGTTGAAGATAGGGAGTCTGCGCCAGGGTTCATGTCCAGGGCGCGGGATACGAAAGAGCCCTGGGCAGCATGGACATTGTCATCGCATGGGCATGGTTGTTCTGGCCAACGGACTGACTGGTGGCATGGACGTTGTCACCGTGCGCGCATGGTTGCTCTGGCCAAACACACGCGCGACGCCTGAAATGGCTGCTCTGGTAAACGGATGCGTGAAAGTACACGGGTGGGAACGTGCCGCAATCCAACCACGCTTGTCTAGATTAGTCTTAAGTTCCAAGGTCCTGAGCCTTTCAGACGAAATCTTAGACCCTGCAGCTTAATGCCAAATCACCCAAAGTTCGATGATCTGAAACTTCAAGCCTAGTGTTCTAAACCGAAGGCCCGCATTCACAAAAAGCCTAGCGTTCTATCCCTCAGCCCCAAAACAGAAAATCCAAGGGCTACAGAATATATATATATATGAACAACAAAAACATGCCATAAAAAACACGCAAATTACAATTAGATAGATTTAAATGTATCCATGTATATAAACCCTTATTCTTCAGGAGCGTTCGCGCATGAGTCGCATTGACACTAAGCGAGCAACACTTCAGCACTGTGTAGGAACAAGTTTACACACACACACACACACCTTTCCCCTAAACCCTAAACCCTAAACCCTAAACCCTAAACTCTATAATCCCTATAATCCCTATAACACTCATGATTTACGTATCTTCTCCCTACTTGGGGGAAAATATGTAGGCCCCTCCCCCCGCCCCCCCACCGTTCCCCGGCGCCTGCCCTGTCCAGGGGCAAGTTTAGGGCTTCCGGTTTAGGGTTTAGGGTTTAGGGTTTAGGGTTCAGGGTTTAGGGTTTAGGCCCAGTTGCCGTCACGTCTATTTGGGGCCTGACTTCGGGTTCTCTGAGGGCTTTTGAGCTTTCCCCCCCCCCCCCCCGAGGGTCATGAGCTCATCGTGCAGCTCGGAGCCGCAAACAATGTCCTGGCAGTCGTTCCGATTCGGGTTTAGGGTTTAGGGTTTAGGGTTTAGGGTTTAGGGCTTAGGGCTTAGGGCTTAGGGCTTAGGGTTTAGGGTTTAGGGTTTAGGGTTTAGGGTTTAGGGTTTAGGGTTTAGGGTTTAGGGTTTAGGGTTTAGGGCTGTATGGCAAGGTCTAAGGTTTGGAAGTATGTTAGTTATAGTGTTCTTAAAGGAGGGGGTTCAAGGGGGGACTGTAACCCAAGGTTCCCTGACACTCCCTCATACTCCCTACTACTCCATAAGGCTCCCTAAGGCAAACAAGGGCACTACTGATGGGCATCCTAGAATCGCCTCCATACAAAAAGAGCCGTAACGAAGCACCATGCCTGATGAGAACACGTATCTAGCTTAAAGCCCAATTTGCCCACTGAGGGGAATACCGCTTTGGTTCCTCGGTTGTCGGTTCGTGAGTAGCTTCCTAAACCCTAAACCCTACACCCTAAACCTTAAACCTTAAACCCTAAACCCTAAACCCTAAACTCTAAACCCTGCAGGGAGAGTGTTGACGATCTCACTTGCGGCTGTCGACTCCGATGGCCATGGGGTCATACGTGGAGGCTCATGGGTCGTTATCAGTACGGTTCCAAGTGCCCCCCCCCCAACCCAAAAAAAAAACAAAAAACAAAAAAACAAAAAACAAAAAACAACTAAACCCTGAACGCTAGTCCCCGTCACCCCCTCTCCTGCACCAAAATAGTGTATTCCCGCCTATTCCCTACCACTTTAGGCCTTTAACGTGAGGCTCTTGCCATTGACGCGCAAACACAAACGTGCCGGGATTCACTGGATGCTCGATCATGACGCTGAGATGAACTGGGCACTCTGTGGAGAAAATTGAAAAAGCTGAAATAGTTGCACACGAACCAGTGCAAAGGGTTTAGGGTTTATAGGGTTTAGGGTTTAGGGCTCTTGTTGTTGCTTTCAGGTTTGCTGCGCGACCAATGCTTGTGCGAATGATCCTCCTGCTGCTCTTTCGTGCTGTGTAACTCATCCCACTACACTGCTGTGAATGCCGCGAGATGCCCTGATACAGTATGAGACCTGATTAGCCGCGTTTGCTCTTCCTGGGACTCAGGCAGCCCCGTGAATAAGAAGGGAGCTCTTATGCCTGGTATCTTTGACAATGCTTGCATTAGTGTTTAGGGCGGTCTAAAGCGACTAGTACGCCACTCCTGGTATGTTTGGGCTTGTAAGCCGTGTGCTCTACGCAGAAATGTTAGCTTAACTTGCTCTGCCTCTCATACTCCGGAGCAGTAGCACTTTGGCTGTAACTCCTTTAACTAAACCCTAAACCTTTGGACATCAACACATTGATATCTATATGGGGGGTTTACGCAAGTTCCCTTATGATAAAGGCCTCAAGAAGGTACTCCGAATATCGTAAACACCCAGATCTATATTTATAAAACCCTAAACCCTAAACCCTAAACCCTAAGCCTAAACCCTAAACCCTAAAACTTCGTATAGGTTGAACAAAGCTTGAGTGCACCTCCTTGTAGCTCCCCTTGCTAAGGCAACGGCTGTGGTCCAGCTCAAGGCAGCGCCTCGGGAGGAACTAAGCCCTGCACCCTCAACCCTTTAGGGTTTAGGGTTTAGGGTTTAGGGTTTAGGGTTTAGGGTTTCGGATCTAGGGTTTAGGGTCTAGGGACCCTAAAACCAAAAGCCTAAAACGAAAACCCTTAGACCCCCTAAGCCCCAAACTAAAACCTTGCGCTTTGTGGAAATGCGCGCCGGCGGAAGCCCCGGGGCAGGATCCACGTCTACAACGGGGGCTTTAGGGGCTTTTGGGGGCTTTGGGGGTCTGAGGCTAGGGCTTCGGATTTTGAAAGATGATCCTCGGTTTCGAAGTTATCGGATTTTGGGGCGCAACGTTGGACCCGCTTTGATGGGGTCCCCCTCTCGAAAGTCAAGTTATCTGGCCGTTCAGACCTGGACTTCTTCACTGTTTGGGGCTGCCCGGTGGGGCCCTCCATCGTAAAGTTCCTGTTTCTTTTTTTTCTATGTTTTCCGGGTTGGGTCCATCTTTTTAAGGGGTGTTGTCGGTTTGTTACTTTGAAACAAGGGCCGACATTACTGTAGGGCTTGTAGTTTCAGAAGGGGCTGTGCAGGGCATGTGTCGCCCTTCACGTCTCGGTAGCTGCAATTCAGCCCTGCAATGTCTTGTGAAAGCCCCCCCCCCCCCCCTCCCCCCCTCCCACCCATTTTTGGGTGTTTAGCAGCTTTGCGAAGTTGCCCTAAAGCCTAATTAGAGTAAACCCTAAGCCCTAAACCTAAACCCTACAACCTACAACCCACAACCGTAAACCCTAAACCCTAAACTCTAAACTGAAAAAACCCTAAACCAGGTCAACAGTACCCGAAATTTATGAAGCGGTGAGTCTTTGAACCTTCCAAGTAGACAGGAGGTTGTAGGGCTCCCGGCAAGGGTACAACTTGCGTCCGCAGGTAGACAGGCATGAACCAGAAAGCCTTGGTGGACAGGTTTAGGGTTTAGGGTTTAGGGTTTGGGGTTTGGGGTTTGGGGTTTGGTGTTTAGGGTTTAGGGCGTAGGGTTTGGGGTTTTAGGGTTTAGGGGTTTAGGGTTTCGGGCTTGGGGTCTAGGGGCATCCCCGAGAAACTGTTGCAGTGAGGGTAGTTACATGGTCCCTTAGTATGGATTATGGTGTAGGGTTCAGGGTTTAGGGAAAAGGGTTTAGGGTTTAGGGTCCCGGGTTTAGGGTTCAGGGTTTTGTGTTCAGGTGCCCTTAAATATACCCTATCCATCATGGGTTCCCCTACTACCCCCCTCTTTTCTGAGTTCACAATCCCCCCCAAAAAAGCGTACCCTTTCGGTTCTATAGGTGATCCTAGTATCCAAAAAGTGCAGAGTGTACTCATTCAGCTACTAGGCCATGGGTTCCCCTACTACCCGCCTCTTGACTACACCCCCTAGGTTCCCCCGCCTAATTAAGGCTGTTGAGGAAAAAGTTAAAGCCTAATTCAGGTTCTTGAAGGGGGAGCCTAGGGGGCGTAGTAGAGAGCGGGGCAGTCGGCTTTAGGCCTTAGTATAGGCCTTTACATATGCCCTATACAACCCAGCAGAACCCTTTAAAGAAGGCAAGGGACTATCTTAAGAGCCCGTTACAGAGGTTGCTAAGTTGGGTTCTTAGTGTGGTAACTTCGCTTGCAACGCTCTCTAGGGTACTTATAACCCTACTTCTCATTACGCATGAACCTCCAAGTAAGCCCCAAACCCGAAACGCTAAACCCGAAAACTATCCCCTCTACCCCAAAGATGTCCCAACTGCGGTTTAGGGTTTCGGGTTTAGGGTTTAGGGTTTAGGGTTTAGGGTTTGGGGTTTGGGGTGGCAGCTTGGGGAGCCTCGGATGCGCCCGAGAAAACAATTGACTTCACCCTTGGGGCCCTTGGAGCTTCAACACGGTCTAGGGGCTTCCCTTAAGCTTGAACAGACGAGCTTCGAAGATGGTGATGCGCCGAATGACTTTGGACACCTGGTCAGGCATATGAAAAATGAGTGCAAAGTTTCGCTATTCACAATGCACGTTCAAGGTAGATTCCTTACCTGAAAGAATTCAAAACCTGCGGTTTTTTGGTAGGTTACCCAAGAATCCTAGAAGGGGTGTTGTACCAAGAGCCTACAAAGGCAGGCCTTGGATTCTTTGGACTCTCGCAGCTCTCATGCCGAGGGTACCCTCTTGAAACCCTCCGAAAAACTATTCTACATGGGACCCTCTTAAACCCAAGAGGAAAAATATGACAAGGGCCTACTTGGAGGTTCATGGTACTTATTAAATAATTCTAACTGTACTTATAACTGTACTTATAACCATATCAGGGCACTTAAAGGGCTTTTCAGTGGGTTGTAAATACAATTATAGTTGGTGAATAATGTTTGGACCCTCTTTCGTGTGTTGGCCCCGGCCCCCCCCCCCCCCCCCGCCCCCCCCCCGGCCCCCCCCCCCCCCCGCCCCCGCCGCCCCCCCCCTTCCGCCCCTTCCCGGCCCCCCCCCCCCCCTCCCCCCCCCCCCCCCCTCCCCCCCCCCCCTCCCCCTCCCCCCCCCTCCCCCCTCCCCCCCTTCCCCCCCCAAACAGTTGAGGCGTGGATGGGAGCCTGATTACACGGCCCCGGGGGCTTCTTTGATTTCAATAGGAGGAGTTTAGATAGGTTTAGAAGGGGCAGCGATGCCCGGTTATCTTTTTTGAAGGCGCGCCACGTGGAATTTTTTTACGGCGCCCGGACGGTTTGACTTTAAAGGAGACCCCGCAAACAGTCAGGGGGTCCTGAATAATTTGGCCACATTGACTTTAAAGGGGAGGCCCCTACTAAAGCGGGTCAAATATTACGTGCCATAAACCTCCAAGTACCTAGGTACGGTTGCCATAAACCTCCAAGTACCTAGGTACGGTCCTTATAAGTCCCCACACCAGGAACTTGGGCTCTACACTTGACGCGGACATGCAGGGTTTAGGGTTTAGGGTTTAGGGTTTAGGGTTTAGGGTTTAGGGTTTAGGGTTTAGGGTTTAGGGTTTAGGGTTTAGGGTTTAGGGTTTAGGGTTTAGGGTTTAGGGTTTAGGGTTTCGGGTTTCGGGTTTCGGGTTTAGGGTCTAGGCCTTTGGACTTGTAAGAATAGGGTTAGTAAGTTGGGTTATGATGATTATTCTAGGGTTTCTGGGGGATACTAGGTAGACTTACCAAGTAAAAGGGGCTTCGAAGTAACCAGTTCTTGGCCTCGCGATAGAGGAGGAACTCCTCGTGCATGAAGAGATAGCGGTATCGAGCCCTGTGAAGCAAAGGCTTTTTCAATGTGAAGAGTTTAGGGTTTAGGGTTTAGGGTTTCGGGTTTTAGGGTTTTAGGGTTGAAGAGTTTTGGGGATTACACGCTACGCTCTAAGACCACGAAGGCCCAACAACTACATGTCAAAACCCTAAGTTTCCAAGTCCCTGAACATCCCTGAAGAACCGCAGACCTAGCTTTTTTTTGGTAGGTTCTTGGTATACCACCCCTTGTAGGATTCTTGGGTAAAGTGTGACAAGTGCGCTCTGGGTTCGTAAGGTAAGCCATAGAACGGTAATGCCCACGGCTTGGGCGGGGTAGCTCGTTAAGACCCGAAACCCTAATTGAACCCCAAACCCCTTAAGTATCCTAGAATGCTCTCATTAGCCCCGACAAGACTATATGAACTATATGAACTATATGAACTATATGAACTATATGAACTTTTTGAACTATATGAACTATATGAACTATACGAACTAATATGGACCATATGAACTAGTTAGAACTAAAGTCCCCCCCGCCCCCATGAAAAACGAGCAGGTTTAGGGTGTAGGGACCCTAAGCTGTAAGCGGGCGACCCTAAACCCTAATCCGAGCATCTGCTTAATTAATACCCCCCCCCCCCCCCCCCCCACATTTAAAGAAACTTTTCTTGGCCGGAAGCCCGCCGGAAGACTACTTTCCATTAAGGTGGATTTCGTATGGGGCAATCCCACCACTTTTAAAGAAATTGTTTTCGGGGGGGGTCCAAAAATCTGTCGGCAGGCTTCTTGTTTTGCTTGCGGAGCTGCGAAGCTACAGCACCTCAGGGATCTGCAGCCTATTGTTTTAAATAGGGAATCAATGCAGGGCCATGGTCCAATTATTGCGGAACCCTGCCTTCCTTATTGCGGTGGGGGGGGGGGGGGGGGGGGGGGCCCAATTAAACAGATGCTCGGATTGAGTCGAAACCCCAAACCCTACACCCTGAACCCTGCTAAACTCTAAACCCTGAACCCAAAACCCAAGACTCTAAACCCCTACATTGAGGGCTTTAGGGTTCTATAGGGTTTTTAACGCTGGGAGCGTGGCATGTGGCTCTTCGCAGATGCAGAGACACCTTCGCCGAAGGCGGTCCAACCTGAAAAGATGCAGTCCGACTTGGAAGCCTTGTTTAGCCTAGTAAGTAGTGTTTAGGGTTTAGGGTTTAGGGATTTAGGGATTTAGGGTTTAGGGTTTAGGGTTTAGGGTTTAGGGTTTAGGGATAGGGTTTAGGGTTTCACTGTTCAGGGTTTAGGATTTAGGGTTCAGGTTGTACCCAAAGGTCCTGAAGTCCAGGAGTTTATTTGGGTAGATCCTGAACCCTAACCCCAGAACCCTGGAACTCACTGGCTCTTCGCAGGAAGTGAGAGACTTAAATACCTTATATGACCTCTTGAAGGGTATGGGGTGAAATGAGGTACCGAATTTCGCCATGCCCTACTAAGAGCCTGTAAGCTTGCGTCGCTGGCTGTGTAATTTTAGGGGAAGAAAGGGCGATCCTCCGCATTTTCCAGAGGTGATTTGAACACCCATCAAAAAACCTCCCCGCCATGGAGCCTGAAACAAAAACACTGCCCCAAGCCGCAAGCTTGAAACCCTAAACCCTAAACCCTAAACCCTAAACCCTAAACCCTAAACCCCCAACGCCCTAAAGCCCTAAAGCCATAAAGCCCACAAGTTGCCCCCGGGAGCCGCACGGGATACGCGGTGAGCCACCTGATCGTCCTGAGCTCGGCAATTCACCCTAAACCCTAAACTTGAACCCCAAACCCTAAACTTTAAAACCTGAACCCTAAGCCCTCAGCCAAAAACTCTGCCCGAAGCCCACCAATTGCTGCAGCCGCTACAAGAAACTCTATTGAGCCCTACTGAACCTTACTAAACCATCTCCCTTAAACATCCTTAAACCCTCTACTAACCCTCTACGAATCCCTCCACTAAACCCTCCCCTAAACCCGTTACTAAATGCGATAACTTGCCCCTTTGAAGGATGGGGATGGGAAGTGGGATTTTCGTGCGCTAGACCGAAACCCTAAAAGAAAAAAGTTCGGTGGTTGCCTGCGCAAGGACGGGGGGGGGGGGAAGAATGAACCAACACCGTTTCTTGGTGTTCGAAACACAAAGTGGAAGATATGCCGACACCCCCCCCCCCCCCCCCCCCCCCCCCCCCCCCCCCCCCCCCCCCCCCCCCCCCCCCCGCTCCCCGCCCCCACCCACACACTCACTGCTGGGTGTGTTGGGGCGCCATCTCTGAATGGAATCTACTGCCGAGGCGCGGCGAAAAGCCCTAAACCCTAAACCCTACTCCCTCAACCCTATTCGTCTTCAAGGACGTAGGGCATGAGGGTTTAGGGCCACCACAGCATCAGCATCCCTAAACCCTAAAACCCTAAAACCCTAAAACCCCAAAACCCCAAAACCCTAAAACCCTAAAACCATAAAACCCTAAAACCCTAAAACCCTAAAACCCTAAAACCCTAAAACCCTAAAACCCTAAAACCCTAAAACCCTAAAACCCTAAAACCCTAAAACCCTAAAACCCTAAAACCCTAAAACCCTAAAACCCTAAAACCCTAAAGCCCTCAAACCCTAAAAACCCTAAAACCCTAGAAACCCTAAAACCCTAAACCACCCTAAAACCCTAAAACACGAAGACCCTAAAACCCTAAAACCCGGAAACCCTAAAACCCTGAAACCCTGAAACCCTATATTCCCAAAACCCTAAACCCTGAAAGGCGCTAAAACCCTAAACCCTAAACCCTAAACCCTAAACCTACAGCCACCACAGCATCAGAAGCCCTGGGCCGCTATCAATAACCCTAAACCCTAAACCCTAAACCCTAAACCCTAAACCCTAAACCCTAAACCCTAAACTTTGAACCCTAAACCCTAAACCCTAAACCATGGCAGGGAGTCGTCGTCACTGTGACTGTGGTTGTCGGCGGTGGACATCTCGGACAGCTTGTAGTTGGTGCCCTGCGCCACATCGACTCAGTGGCTTGGGTGGGGTTTAGGGTTTAAGGTTTAGGGTTTGGGGTTTGGGGTTTGGGGTTTGGGGTTCAGGGTTTAGGGTTTAGGGTTTGGGGTTTGGGGTTTTGGTTAGGGAAGTTTTAGAGTTTGGCGTCCCACGCCACAGGAATCAAGAACATCCGGTGAAGGTATTCTTCTGTTGTCGAGTTAAAGGTTTTAGGATTTAGGGCCGTTTGAGGATAGCTTCGGGGTAAAGAGGGCTGGGAAGAACACCCAGCTGCAAGGCTCTGGGCAACAACCCGAGCTAGTCAGCACCTGATTCTTCTAACTTTACACCCTAAACCCTAAACCCTAAACCCGAAACCCTAAACCCCAAACCCTAAAGAGGATCAAGAATCTACTGCACCGATGATATCGTAGATGCCTAACAAGAACCCAGAGGGCCCAATACCACCTCAAGTAAGGACAAGAGTTCAGGGCTAGGGCTTTCGTTTTTTTGGGGTTGAAGGTTGAGGGTTGAGGGTTGAGGGTTGGGGGTTGGGGGTTGGGGGTTGGGGGTTGGGGGTTGAGGATTGAAGGTTGAGGGTTTAGAGTTTAGGGTTTAGGGTTAGGGCTTTGAGTTTTTGGGGTTTAGGGTTTAGGTGTCCCTCCCTCAATACAGGGATCATGTTGGTATCCCCCTCAACTCAGGGATGCTCCTTGCACTCAGGAAAAGGATCCCTTGTGGGGTCTTCCTTCGTGGTGTAGGAGTAGATTGAGAACCCTAAACCTATCAACCCAAAACCCCATCCTTTAATTTCGCGCGGCATTGGGTCTCCCCGAATTGCATGAACATCAGACCCTGAAGACGCTGAACCCCGAAACGCTTGAGACCCCCCAAGCCCAAGTATGGTAGCACAACAAGACACACTCCCCCAAAGCCTAAACTTGAATCTCTGAACCCCAACCCTCGACCGCACAGTATAGGGTGCCTGAACCCTAAACCCTAAACCCCAAACCCCAAACCCCCAAACCCCCAAACCCTAGACCCGAAAGCCCTAAACTCCTAAACTTGGAGGCCAAAGCGGCTTCGAAGGTCGCACTCGGGGTGCGACAGCGACAGAATGGGTCGAGTGGCATGGCCGTCGGATCCTGTGGCGGCGGTTCTCGCCGGCACCGCTGCAGAACGAGGAGTGGGGTCAAGGAGGCGTAGCCTTTGCCCACCGGGGTGAATGCTACCCCAATGCAGCCTCTGGCCACCGCAGCCGCGAGTCCCATCTTCGTACTGCCGAGGCCACTGGGAATGCCATGACTCAATGACGACATACCTCGTCTGCCGCGCATGTGCGCTGGACCGGCAGTGGCATTGATCTTCGACTTCATCACGGCGGAGTCACTAAACCCTAAACCCTCAACCCCAAGCCTTAAACCCTATACTAAAGCCTAAAGCCTAAAGCCAAGCCTAAACCCTAAACCTTAACCCAAAAACCCACAACCCTAAAACCCTAAAACCCTAAACCCTAAACCCTAAACCCTAAACCCCAAGTAAGCCCCAACTAAAAACCCTAAACCTTAAACCTTAAACCTTAAACCTTGAACCCTAAACCCTAAACCCTAAACCCTGACAGGGGCGCCTCAGACTGGTAGGGTGTCGCCACATCGTCTGTCCTGGGACCGTTGGCATTCTCCAGGGTTGTTTTCTGGAGGGTTGGGGAGTTAGCAGATAGGGTTTAGGGTTTAGGGTTTAGGGCTTAGGGTGTAGAGTTTGGACTACTAAGTAGAGATATACGTACCCATAAAGGAGCCGCTAATTGAAACGAAATCTCTACTTGCACAAAGGAAATCCCCCGAACCTCCGAGTCAGGGTTCAGGGTTTAAGGGTTGAGGGTTCAGCCCTAAACCCTAAACCCTAAACCCTAAACCCTAAACCCCAAAGCCCAAACCCTAAACCCTAAACCCTAAACCCTAAGCCCTAAGCCCTAAATCCTAAGCCCTAGACAGGGCTCAGGGCGGATTCGCAAATTCGGGTAGTTTAGTAGTTTAAACCCTAAACCCACGAAGGGCTCGGAAATGATACCCGGCCAGAGTCTGAGATGTCCTTGGACCCTATACCCTAAACCTAAACCCTAAACCCTCAAACCCTAAACCCTAAACCCTACGCCCTAAACCCTAAACCCTCAACCCTAGCCCTAAACCCTAAACCCTCAACCCTAAACCCTAGCCCTAAACCCTAAACCCTAAACCCTCGACCCGAAAAATCTCGGGCCCAGCTGAGGCTGTCGCACCCCGAGTGCCACCTTCGAAGCCGCTTTCGCCTCCAAGTTGAGGAGTTTAGGGCGTTCGAGTCTAGGGTTTGGGGGGTTTAGGGTTTGGGGGTTTAGGGTTTGGGGTTTGGGGTTTGGGGTTTAGGGTTTGGGGTTTAGGGTTTAGGAGTCTAGGAGTTTAGGGCTTTCGATTCTAGGGTCTGGGGGGTTTAGGGTTTGGGGGGTTAGGGGTTTGGGGGTTTGGGGTTTAGGGCTTTCGGCTTTTCGGGTTTGGGGTTAGGGGGTTTGGGGGTTTAGGGGGTTTGGGGTTTAGGGCTTTCGGGTTTGGGGTTTAGGGTTTGGGGGGTTGGGGGGTTTGGGGGATTTTGTAAGGGCTTAAGCATACTTACCATGCTTTTTTCGGGTTTAAGGTTTGGGGTTGGGTTTTATGAGTGCCGTAAATAGCCCCAAACGTATACTTACCAGAGTTCTGACCCTACTTCTGACTAGCGAACCTCCAAGTAAGGTCGATAGGGTTCAGGTGTGGGGCGGGAGGGGGCTGTGGGGGCGGGCTTTGGAGTTCAGGGACCTAAGGGAAGTTGCATGGTGCAGGGTTCGGAAGCTTTATAGGGTATCTGAAGCGTATACAAGGGTTCCCCGATTAAGGGCCCATGTTAAGGGAGCATGTCCCTAAACCCTGAACCCTACACCCTAAACTCTAATTAAACCCTAAACCCTGCGAGCACAGTCAGTTTTTGGGGTTGAGTCCCTGCTGTTATTCGCCCAACTGGGAGGCGTTGAGGGTTAGAATTCAGGGTTTCAGGTATAAGTAGGGTTACAAGCCTCCCGACATGTAATTGCCACAGCACACAGCTCTGCACTTGTGACGACCATCCGGGGCCTTCTTTAAAAAGATCACCTTTGAAGGGATGAGCTCAAAGTGCACACCATCTCGTTGCCACTTTTCCAAGATTGCCTCATCCAAGGGGTCCACAGCTTTCCGTACGCCTTGATATTCGCCAACCATGGACGGTCTCCACTCCTCAATCTCCTTGACGACCTGAGCATTGGGGATGATCCGGGTCTGCAACGCTTCCTCCTCCAGCTCATTTGAGTCGGGGTTCAACCCGACATCCGCCCTAAACCCTAACCCCCCCCCCCCCCCCCACCCTGTTGATGCGCCTTGCCGGA